TATTACGTACATATAGGCCATCATTGACGCTATTAATCCCCTTGCTTTAGTATAGTAGTATAGTATAGTATAGTATCTTCGGCATTAAATAAATAGGCCTGGATAGGCCTGTCGCCGATTCTTGTACTTTTCTTGACTAGACTGGCCTTACGGACGGAAGATATCACTGGCCTTACGGACGGAAGATATCGGACTTTAATTAATAGCATGACTCTAACGTAAATGCCGCATCATTCACAGCCCACAATTCAATTGAAATCGTAAAAGAGTTTTGTTCTCGTTTAATTAAACAGATATGGATGGAGTGTAAGCCATGTATTAGTCTGGATTAGTAAAAATTTTGAATACCCATTTATATTACTAATTTCACGGGAATACTCCGACTGCCGCAAGCTTAATAATACCATACATATAAAGGTTTTTAATGAATTCTTTTGATTGTCAAGCGTCTGCAAGAGATAATTAGATATCTATGAAGTTTTATAGACATAAAATTAGAAAAAAAACATAGTCGAAGTCTCTATTCGGCATTTTCTCTTCTATAAACATTCCAAGCGAGCATTTTATTGTATGATTGATTAGATTATACAAGCATTAACATCCGAAGTACCTCCATTTTTAATTGCCTTTTAAGGAGTTTCAAATAATCAAAACTATCAAAACACGGAAAGTTTTAAGGTTCGGGGTAAAAATTTACCAGTTTGGAGACGAAGAGGCATTTTCCGAAATATTTGCCGATTTAATTCTGAAAACGAATAATTTGTAAAATTTTCTAGCCGAACAGAATTTAGAATATAAAACTTTACAACTTGGGCCTCGTGAAAAGTAAAAGTAGGTGCCTCTTCTTGATATTTATAATAGCTATATTAGTCTGATTTTGAAACTTACTGAGAAATACCTGCAAGAACATGTAAAAATTTCGAACATTATTACTCGAAATAAATATGGTGGAGCATCGTCTGCATTGCATTTGTTTGTGTGAAGAATTTCAACTACGGAGGCTGAACACAACAAAGAATATATTTCCAGTGGGTTGGTTGGAGTTGATAACCTGTTAGTTAGGCCGCGTGTACTGCAGTAATTCGGACGCGTTTGTTTCTACATCCATGGCAATTCGCGAAGAAAGTACTAGCTAACTGAAATTGTGTAGACATTTTCATAAGAGTTAAAAAATGTAAGGAAGATCATATTATAATTAAATAGTTTCATGGTTATCTTCGACATTAATTGAAGCCACTTTACGATAGAAATTTTCTGAGACGTAGAACGTTCAAATGTGAAGTAATTATCAGCGTTTAATAAATTAAAATATTAATGGAATTGGAAGGCAAGGAAATATTTACGCTTGTAAAATAAATTGTGCTTCAAGAAAAATTATTTTTAATATTACATAAGGCATATCTGATGCACTGATAAACATGTTTATTAATTTAAATATATATTTTTCAGATTTATTACTTCATGAAGAACGTGGTTGCTTCTGTAGAAGTACAAGAATTTATGCTCATTAACAATACTTTGTGGTTATATCTTAAAGATTCAAATGACGTCCCGGAAGTACTTGTATTTTACGTGCAAATTTGACTTGAAACATTGAAATGATCTATTATATTCATGTTATTTCTGATTGCAAAAACTTAACCGATGTTTCTCAACCAGCAAGACTACTTCTTCAAGATTACTTCTTAAACATGGCTTCTTGACATCTCAAGCGGATCTCAAGCCAGAACGAAGGAAATCGTTCAGCAGTACATATGTACCTATTTTCTGAATTGATTGTCATTATTGTTGTATTCAAATTTTGTTAATCAGAAGAGTTAAAATTCACCGTATTTTCATTTCCTTTGAAATTTCGTCTGGTAATACATCTTGAGAATGCCAACTGAATTTTTTAGCACCTCTTCTGTAAAGTTATTATTAGTTTTTAGTTAAATAAATAATTTTACTGTCTAGTTCGACAGTACGCCAAAAAAATACAAAATTGCATTAGATCTACAAGTAATAAATTGCTTTTGATCTTTTGAATTGTGCAAATTCACATAAATTAGAAAATAATTTAGTCCAAAAATAATTTTAATCCGTCCGCATAATTCCACGAGAGGTGAAAATTTTTACCTCTTTCCGTTTGGCATATTATTTTTTTTATAAATATTGACGATCATCAACAGATGATCTCATCCAAACGAAGAAATAGTAAACGGTTTATCGTTGCAGATGAAGTTATTTTGCATTGATTAGGATGGAAATTCGTCCAAAAGAAGACGTTGTTTTGGCGGAAAGTGTTCAGGCTCATGGCTCTTATATTGCCCCAGAAATATATTCATGGATCGAATATAGTCCCAAGGGATATTATTATGGATTGTTTATATTTAGGGGAAATATAGTCATGGATCTTATATTGTCCCAGAAATAAATTCATGAATCGAATGTAGTCCCATGCAAGAGATATTATCATGGATCTTATCTAGTCTCTAGAAATGTCATGGATCTAATATAGGCTGTTAAAATAGCATCAGGGATCATATACAGTGCCATATATATAGTCACGGACCTTATATAATCCTTAGAAATAATTCTTGTTAAGCAATCATTGTGGCAAGTGTATAGAAAAAGTGCAACTGCTCCATGATAAGAGCTCCCAAAAGACAGCAAGAGTTTGACATATATAAATAAATATTTTTACTACAATTCGTATGCTCTTGAGAACTGTACTCATATAATTTTATGAATTTATTATATAATCATACCAGGACATATAAAGACTGACAGATCTTTGACATCAGCTTCATGTTCTTGCGGTTTATTCTATACAAGATATCTGAAAAAAAAATCAATGGCAACTTTACCAACAGTCGGCCCGCTACGAATTTCTAGGCTGTTTCTTACATCGCATTCTGACAAAAAATCTAAACCAGGAAGAAAATATGTTCCTCACTTATTCTGCATTAAAAATTTTTCTCTCTGAACCTTTGAAATAATAAGTTTCCTTGTTTACTTTTATGGGAAACAAACCAAACTTGTTGAAAGCTAGGATAGAAAGTATCTTTATATAACACCCGCATTTCATGGGTGCTTTCTTGTTATTTCATTTTTTTCTAGTTCCAACTACCATTACTTTCAAATTTTTCAGGTTCGCGATCCACGAAATTTCATAGTTTTATCTCTAGAGAATATTTGTGTTTACTGAGTAGGGCAATGTTTGCATGACTGACTTATTTATCGATATTGAGTCGATTTAAATGGAATTAAACTCTAGACAATTGCGATAAGTCTTTGGTAAGAGACTGAAGAGTGAATGAGTCTAAATATGAGAATTCAAATAAAAATAGATGTAATGAAATCGTAACCCAATTTTTGAGACTAATATAAAAACATTTGTTCATACATAACAAATTTGTTCCTCTATAATTCATCACAAAAAAACTTCCCCGGAGAAGGAAAAAGTCGAAAATTAATGTGATCAACCGTAGCCATATGGATTTCTCAAAACTCATTTCCAAAAAAGTGTCCTAAGTAAAACTTGTTGGTCTGACGGAACTTTAATGTCAAATCAATCGGTTATCACCATGTATAATTGTTGAGCCTAAAAAGTATGCCTGTAAAAGCGAAAACCATGCCTGCAACGGAATCGATGAGTGGAGCGTTATTTCAGAAAATTTCTACCAGCGCAAACTCGAAAAGAGTGGTTTTAGTGCGCCATCGAGTGATAGTTGTGGCGGGGTGGCTCTTAAAGTGAGCATTAAGCTCGTCTGATAATCATTAAGCTTGTCCCTTAAGAGGGCTACGTATTCATGGCTTGTAGCAACGACGCCCATATGCAAATGAAAGAGAAACACCTTCGTCAAATTGCGTTAGACTGCCGTCGCGCAGACTTAGTCCGTGTGAGCGAGTATTAAGACCTCTTCGGACTCCCTACATGGTTCGTAATTATATCAAATGTATATGATGGAAGCGATATTATATATAAACGATAAACAATTGAATGATTTTGGGCATCTGTCTTCGAACTTTACATGAAAAGGCTCGTAACTGCAATATCTTTGGAAGGGAATAGCCTTGTAAACAGTAAAAAATATGTACCAAGAGTAGATAGCAATAGGGGTGTACCGTCACACTCTGCATAAACAGCTTAAATCATAGGTTTTCACAATCTTACCCCGAATCTTACCCAACTAAATTAACCAATTATCCCCGAATAAAACCTCATTCAATATTATTTTACGACCACAAAAATTGATCAATTACCCCAGAATCTGCCTAAGCAGCACAACAGGGTGCCGATCATTTACCCCGAATCTTGCCCAACAAAATTAATCAATTACTTCCGAATCATGAGTTAACGACCATTTACCCCGATTGAGCACTCTTTAACCGAGAACTCAGGGCTTAGCCTTAGAGCGGCTGCCTGAAAAATATTCCTGTGGAATATATAATATTATTGATTTATATTTTTGAAATACTTTCCAGAACCTCAGGTTTTAGGATAACCGCGGTTTCGACCACAAATTTCCTTTCTATTGAATGAAAAATTGTATCTGTAGGAGCAAACATAAATATATTAACCCTATAAACTTCAATGTATGCTTATAATAACACTCTAAAGGTCGAATAAACAAGTAAAACATAGGAGCGCATAAAAAAAGACTATTAAAAACTAAGCTAACAAAATGTTCGCTAAAAATATTTACAATCTCTCTCTTCCAAAGCTGACAGATTTGAGTCTAAGAAATAGCAGAAGTTCGAATCTATTTTCACAACATTATTTAGTTAGATCACTCATATGAATTATTCCATATAGTTCATTGAATTTCCTCAACTAACTTTGGCAGTATTGGCATTGATTTTGCATCTTTCTGATCACTCCATGGTAACCAGTTCGGCTTTCCCATGACCTAGACATACAGTATCTCACTGATATCAATAGTTCGAGAATTTTGATTGCTTGTCATTTACCAGCTGTCATTTCTCAAGCGAGTTACACCAATATATACGGTTACGAACATGTTGTCAACCGTGTCCAACTGCAGACATGGCTTCTCGAAGACATTTGGTCGCAACTCTGCTGCTGCTTATCGGTTCTGTCGCAGCGCAGAATGGCATTGAATGTCCTTTCCCAGGTGAGTTACATTCTATTTGCTAACAGTAAGTAAAATTTTCATTTCTGAACTTTAAAAAAATTAGTTCCCTTGTTTACTTTTATTGAAAAAAAACAACTTGTTAACAGCTTGGATACAAAGTATCTTTATAACAAAGAACAATATGTGAACAACTTATACTCAAATTACGAGGAACGCGATAGCTTAAAAGTCAGATGAAAATTTTGAAATTATTTAAACGATGTCCGATTTATTCCTCTATCACAAAATAATAGCCATAATGGCAATTACTTCGTCTTTGATTTGATTGAAAATAATGTAATGGCAAACATTCCAAATTCAAACTATTTCAGTGGAGTCATTTGGTCATTACCTATCCTACGAAAAAAATACTCCTCAAATAATATCCATGCCAATTCAGTATGAATCATTTATGAAGTAACACTCTGATTGATATTCGACATTGAATTCATATAAATAATAGTTGATGTATCCAATCAACTGTGCTTGTTATTCAAATGCGGTTTCCTTCGCCGATGACCCGACTAAGTTTATCCATAAAAAATTTAACAATACACGATTGTTGGATTCAGTTGAAACTGCCACACAATGAATTTAACTGATATCACTCAGTTGACTTACAGCATTAAAATCGAATGAGTTTTAAATTACCTAGTTGAATGACGAGTTGATTTTAGTTGCACTGAATGAAGCCATTATGAAGGTGGTGCCGAGAACGGCGGCGGAGAAGCGGAATGCCTGTTTTACACGGCGTGTCGGTGGACGGGGTCAGAGTGCGTCATGCAGAACAACGGCGACATTGGCTACACGGTGGCAGGTGCCCCGCAGGATACGGGCAGGGGCTTCAAGGTTTGTAGAAAGTAACACTTTTTTTGTTGCTACTGAAGGCACCTCTTGAGGGACTAAAATTACCGATAACTATCAGGGTTCTTTGACTGAAGACTGACTTGGTCTGCAGGGTATGTAAAAAAGAACACTTTTCTTTGTTGCTGAAATTCAAGCCTGAGGCGCCATGAATATCGAAAAATAACAGCGATTTTAGAGTAAAAACTGGCTGACTTCAAGCTATTTGAAAACAAACACTTTCTTCGTTGTTTAAATACATTTCTGGGGAGCTATAAATAACTAGAACCAACTGTGATTTTTTGAGCATAGACTGGCTGGGTTTTCGAAGACTGTAAAAAAATGAAACATACCTGGGTGTAAAAAGGTAACGTTGAAATGTTGTAAAATCGAGAAAAAATCACCAGGCTACCTGGTATATAAGAAGCTGTAGCAGTATCATCTAATATATTTGTGAAAGGGCGTTTGTATGATTGATGCTGCGCAAATATGTTCAGGATACGGGCAGGGGCTTCAAGGTTTGTAGAAAGTAACACTTTTTTTGTTGCTACTGAAGGCACCTCTTGAGGGACTAAAATTACCGATAACTATCAGGGTTCTTTGACTGAAGACTGACTTGGTCTGCAGGGTATGTAAAAAAGAACACTTTTCTTTGTTGCTGAAATTCAAGCCTGAGGCGCCATGAATATCGAAAAATAACAGCGATTTTAGAGTAAAAACTGGCTGACTTCAAGCTATTTGAAAACAAACACTTTCTTCGTTGTTTAAATACATTTCTGGGGAGCTATAAATAACTAGAACCAACTGTGATTTTTTGAGCATAGACTGGCTGGGTTTTCGAAGACTGTAAAAAATGAAACAAACCTGGGTGTAAAAAGGTAATGTTGAAATGTTGTAAAATCGAGAAAAAACTCACCAGGCTACCTGGTATACAAGAAGCTGTAGCAGTATTATCTAATATATTTGTGAAAGGGCATTTGTATGATTGATGCTGCGCAAATATGTTGAGGCTATGTGTGCGAGTATACTTATTGCATCGGGATATAACCTGGACCTGAATATGTATTCTTTAGTACTGAAAGGAAAGAAGCGTAATAAAATAAAAATTTCCTTATGAAATTGTCTTGTATAAATGTATTTTGATAGATGAAATATATTTTTCATTCTGAAAAAGAATAATAACTTCTATATACTATTTTCAATAATTCGAGATAACGGTATCTATGTCAAACTTCAGCGATTACCGATCCTAGACAACGACGGGCAAATCTTTTAGCATTGAACAACGAATGAAAATATATCAGGGAAAAACATAATTGATGAAAACATATAAAAATGAAAACATAATTGATGTATAAATAAGGGATGGAATAAAAAAATGACAGATTGGAGAAATTAAGACAGTGCTGAAAGTCATCTTTAGGACAGATAAATTATGAAATGTTACCACTTAAAGAAAGTTTTCGGTCATTTCAGCATTCAGAACATGAGAGAAAACATAAGAAATGTTTAAACTTTAATCAAGACCAGACATTTTCTACGGATTGATTTTTGTTTTCAGGTCGGTCTTGATCTCATCGATGTGACGAAAACATTGTTCGAAGGAGACATTCGCAGGCTGGAGCTGGAAGTGATCTACCACGGAAATTATAGCGTTCAAGTCAAGGTACGATGTTCAATAAAAAAAAGTAAAAGAATGCAAGTTAAATTCAGGTTCATCGAACATTTATATTTTATCTGTAACTATCGAGTTGATGAATTGTCGCCATTTTGCTGATTAGAAAAAATAATTTAAATTATCGTATTACTTTTTAATCAGATCACAGACGCGGAATCTGCGCGCTACGAAGTGCCGGTGCCGCTGACGCTGTCAGACGAACCCGGGACGGCGCCGCTGTACACGGTGGAGGTCGCCGCCGCTGGTCAGCCTTTCGAGATGAGCATCAGTCGCGCCGCCACCGGGACTAAAGTGTGAGTGAGAGATCGGTTTATTGGTATTTATATTGTTTGTGATAAAGGGGAAATGGAATGAGTACGTAACTGGTTAGCAATTAAACGGTTCATATAGTTAATTAAGTTCAGCAACGACAGCAGACCACGTGGGTAACTAGGATAATATCGTTCAGTGGGAGTTATATTTCTTACGATAAAGATGTATATATTGGCATAAGGGAGCAATTGCGTATAAAGATGAGCATGATTGGTTTAGGCAGTAAAAGTTGACTACAACGGTGGGTGAGTTGATATTGGCAGTTATATTCATCTTGATGAAAATGACTGCTCTGGAAAAGGGGCATAATTAATGCTAGCGGGAAAAATAAAACACAAAGATGAGTTGGATAACATCGTTTATTAGCAATGAAATCTATAATGATATAGGTTAATGCATTGAAAGAAGTGCGTGCAACATTCAAGCTACGGAAAACCGAAACGGAGTGTAGTTTTTGTGTCGCTGGTATTATAGGTTCGTTTCTGGTATTTTTATAAAGGGAAAAATGGTATAATAAACCAAAGCTGTAGGGTCGACCGGTTGCAACCAGAAATCTGACAGGTGGCTATAACTTCTAAGATAATGATTATCTTAAAAAACGGTAAAACACGTCTAATCCTGCGCCACACCTTCGAGCCCCGCAACACCTGGCCAATCTTTGCTAGGGATCAGCCCGTTGGCACCGTAAGTTATAATTTCAAGAATTTTTTGATGACATTAATTAATTTCTGAATTAATTGTTTAGCAACCGATATTATTGTCACTGCGGTTAGTATTAGCTAAGCCTGAAAGTTAATATAGAACCATTTTTGCACTTCTCAAAGCCAAGCAATAAGTTAGGATTGAAGTTATCCACTTGGCTTCATGAGAAATTGTATTAAATAAACTGCTTGTCATGCAATGGATGCCTTTATTTCACATACAATTTCTCCCGTACTAAGGAACTCTCACCGCACATTTTACTTAAATTCTGGATACTTTCGTTACAAGGGATAAAACTTTGACTAAATACGAAAAATTTCACGAAATTTTCAAGTTTATATATTTGATTTATTCGTTTTTTAGCTGAATTTTTTATACCCTCGATTGCTTTCTGTTCAATTAATCGCTCAACTTCTCCTGTGCTGCTTGTTTAAGTTCTGTTAAAAAGTTGCGTTCATCACAGTTTCGGCGAATTTCTGCACTAAATTGCACCTTTTTGGTTTTAATGTTCATACAAGTTCTTAGATGATTCATTTTTTACTTTTATTAATTAATTTGCAAGGGCTTCATGAACGAGTATGGCCACCACCCTTACTACTCGGTGGTGGAGGATGACGCGGGCAACACCCACTCTGTACTCTTCTTCAATTCAAATGCAATGGGTAATGATATATGTATATATATAAATATATTTATATAAGTCAGTCAATAGCCGGACAGGATTGGTAACATTACCGGACAGGGGTTATAAATCCGACCAAAATCGAGTCCGGTTGTGTACTCTGTAACTAGTTTGTACTTAAAAACCGGACGCGAAAATAAACGAAATACACTACCGGACATTCTAGAAACGCCAACCTTATTAGGTTATAGTTAGAATTAGGGCTAGTTGTGTACAAAAAACTTCTTTGCGTTGCTAAACGCCTTTCTAAAGATGTTAGGTCCAGCCAGGTCAAGTTCTTTTTACTTTTTTTTGCACTTTTACAAAATTCAGTGGGTACAAAATAATCATAGTACGGAAAAGTGGAATTATTAATTTAAGGCGAACAATCAAGTATTCTTTTCCAATATGCCTTGATCACGAGGAAAAACTTCTATACATTTTCGAGGATAGAAATTCTAAATGTTTTCAAAATATAAATTAATTTATATCCCTAACATTATCTAACTGCTATTCTAAAAACAGTGCGAGGTCAATAAAGAAAAACATGGATAATTTGCAAGTTTAGCTTACTTAATACCGATTACTTCATCTCTTTGCATTTAATATTTACCATTTTTTGATGTGATTTGTTCAGACTGTGGGTACGCCGGAGTTTCCGCCCTACTGGTCTCTGGGCTTTCACTTGTCTCGCTACGGCTACACTTCAACCGATGACGTCAGGGCTGTCAGGCAGCGCATGAAGGATTCTCAAATTCCTCAGGTGATTTATCAATTAGCAAAGAAGTCAGCGATTTGTTGATTTACTCTCAGTGATGAAATTGATTACATTAATAGGGAATGCCAATAACGTAAGATGAGGAGAAAACTCGTGAAAGAAAAGGATCAGCGCCTAAATCAGATGAAGTTTTAGATAATGAATTTGAAAGTTGTGATAGGATGGTAAATTTAAATGTTTTTCATGTAAAATTGCACTATGATTTCGAATTTAATGGTTGACTATTATCCCCATCGGGTACAGAAGACTAAATTCATAGTAATACTGTCTGCAATAATTTGTAACATTTAAATAAATTATGCGACTATAATTTGCTCAAAATACTCATCGAATACTTTTACTTTCCGCCTTATCCTTACTTAACTATTTTAATTTTGCCACGTTTTCTTCTCGTTTGATTTCAAACTTATGAGAAAAATATTTTGAACTTTTAATGATGTAATTTATTCACCTGAAGGACGTACAAGTGTGCGACATCGACTACATGGACCGCTTCCGCGACTTCACCATCGACTCGACCAACTGGGGAGACCTGCCTGCGCTCACAGACGAGCTGCACGCTGACAACGTCAAGCTCACTCTGATTTTGGTGGGAAAGAGTCAAATTATATTGATCTGTTTGTAAAAAATCAGTCCTATATAAATGTATCATTCCAAGAATATAAAAAACTCAAAGTATATTCACCATTTCTTCAATGAAAACTTTTCGGAGACCGGCTTAATCGTTAACAGTAAGAAAGTAGAATTACAATTTTTCAGTAATATTTTGAAATTCAAGGAATAATTTGAAAGCAAAAAATAGGTCTCATTTTATGTTAAATATTTGAAACAGTGCTTACAAGTGGTGTCGAATAGCTGGTAGTCATTGAACTTTTTCAGTCTCTAATGTTTTCGCGCCCTCTAATGTGAATTCATGTCAAAACTTAATTGTGAGTAGTCTAAAGTGAATAAATATCCAGAACTCTATTGTGAGTACCCTAAAGTGAACACATGTCCTGAATTCAATCGTGAGTACTATAATGTGACTATTTGTCAAGAAATTTATTGTTACTAATCAAGAATGAATTGATGTCCAGCATTTTACTGAGAGCCGTCAGAAGTGAATACGGGTGTAGAACTGTTTTGCAAGCACTCTAAAGTTGATCCGCATACAGAATCTCACATGCTATTCATACGGTTTTGCTCAGCAGGAGAGTGTTATTTGACAATTATCAAGTCTTTACTCTGAGCAGGATCCTGCGGTGGTGATAGACTTCGACAACTACGAGCCTGTAGTGCGCGGCCGCGATGCCGATGCCTTCATCAAGTGGCTGTCACCTTCGCTGGTGCCGGGCGACCAGCCCGCGGGCACCAGCGACTATATGGTCGGCTACGTCTGGCCCGACGAGAAGACCGTTTTCCCGGACTTCCTCAAGCCCGAAACCCAGGACTGGTGGGCCGAAGAACTGAAACTACTACATGACGTGAGTAAAATTTTACGATGCTACCCAAGCAAATTGAATGGAACATTCAACTTACGTATGTGTGTCCAGCACTAGTCGTTGAAACAAAGATAATGGTGTCCCGAAATGACGGTATGATCTAAAACTGATTAAATTGCGGGTTTTAAGTTATATTAAGTTGTTTTTGAGATTTTTTCTCTATTATTATTATACTTTTATTTCATCGGCAATCTCTTTAATTTCGTCAGGTTAGGTCCGTAGTGGCCATTTTTGGCACGTGAATAGGTTCTCTTTTTGGAAAGGGTCCGGCAAAATATAGTACAGAGAGAGGTTGTAATGAAACACTGATACATTTAATATTAAATTGAGAAATTTAAGTTCACATCCTACGTTAAAAAAAATCTCTAGTACATGAAAAAGGTGAGCTGAACACAATCAAAGTCCAAAATCTATCAGTTAAATCATCATCATGTAAAACCATCTAATTTTACCGGAAATTGTTGATACATTGCAGTTCCGTTGAGCCGTACGACTGTTGTAACGACTGTAACTTGCGCACCCGTTTACGGCCGTATGTTCAGCGACCGTACCGCGGCTGTCACCGCGCGTTGCAGCCGTATTTCATGTGGCCGTACTGCAGCTGTATCGCGCGTCTCTCTTCACAGTTGCTCTTTCTTCATGACTGTCGTATCTCGTTGATATAGATGTCTCACGGTCAGTCTGGCCGTAGATTGAGCAGGATCCGGCGGTGGTGATAGACTTCGACAACTACGAGCCTGTGGTGCGCGGCCGCGATGCCGATGCCTTCATCAAGTGGATGACACCTTCGCTGGTGCCGGGCGACCAGCCCGCGGGCACCAGCGACTACATGGTCGGCTACGTCTGGCCCGACGAGAAGACCGTTTTCCCGGACTTCCTCAAGCCCGAAACCCAGGACTGGTGGGCCGAAGAACTGAAAATACTACATGACGTGAGTAAAATTTTACGATGCTACCCAAGTCTATTGAACGGAACCATCAACTTACGTATGTACAGCACTAGTCGCTGAAAAAATGTAATAGTCCTGAAATCACGATATAATCTGAAACAATATCTTGCATTATTGGAAGAGTTGAATTTAATTAATAAATATTCAATTTAAAAAAGCTTGTTTGTTTAAAAAACATTTTTGTAATATTCGATATGTCGTCATTGGCGGTTTGGGGAGGCATTATCATTGCTCATAAATTTGACTTTCGAACTACACAGTTCAGGAAAAGTTATGGTCAGTAGAAGTCCTAATTATTCGTGTTGATTGATATGCAAAATTTGATAGTGTATCTTTTTCGCAGAAAGTTCCATTTGATGCTATTTGGATTGACATGAACGAACCTGCCAATTTCGGCACCAATATGGACAAACCTTTCAACTACCCTGAAGGACTTCCACCTTGGAGCCTCAAATGTCCGTTCAACGTCTATGACTCTCCGCCCTATCCAACAAAGACTATTCGAGTCGGAAACTCGGAAAGCCAGAGGCTCAGGTGAGGAGAAGTTAGATGTTATTAACTGAATAAATATTAGTTATGGCTATCTTTCTCAGTTGTTATTTTCTTTTCTTCAATTCAAGAGATGAAAAAAATAAAAATAAAACTATTTGAAGTTTTGGAGACTACTTCAAACTCCAAGCTGTTCAGTTATATACAATAAGTCAATAACAGACGATGTGATCCCAAAAGAAAGAATAAAATTATTGCAGGCTTAGCAGCAGAACTTTCGATTATGAACTCAAATAAGAGTTTAACATTTATGACCTCTTAGCCAATTGACCTTCCACCCAGTCAATTGAAGCCTTAAATTTGTCAGAATGTTGAACAGAATTCAAAGTAAATATTTGACATTTATGTGGGCAGCGATCACTCCATTTGCTTGTCAGCCATGCAGACGAATGGTAACCAAACCTTCTTGATGTACGACACGCACTCTCTCTACGGGTGGTCGGAGACGGTCGCCACTTACAAGTAAATTGATCAACATATGTTTTGCGATTAATATTGTGTACTGTGTGATCTATGTTCTATGTGATCCACGTTGTCTGTTAAAAGTTACTTGATCCAGGTTGTTTGTTGTGCGATCCTTGTTGAGCGAAAGTTTTGTAGGTTTGTATCGGATGTACGAGTATGTTGATCTTGTTTCTAAATAGTCTGAACGCATTCCATGTTTTTTATACGATTGGAATAACACACGAGTAACAAATAATGTCATAGTTTTATAAGATTTGGGTAGGATATTTCGAGTGAATGCAAAAATTAGGTCGCGGATAGTTTAGTTCTCGATGATCTCTCTAACTAATCGCTAATTCAAGGAATACCCAGCTATTGAGGGAACCACCTGCTGGCTAACAGAATTTGGCTTGTTGAGTTAAGTTTATTTAATATAAGTTGACATTCTTATTATGATTCAGCAACAATTCTTGGACATTTTAGGGAAACTCGTCCGAAATTACAAAAATCTTTGTCAATTCATGCATTGATGTAAATTTGAAAAAATGGTAACCAAACCTTCTTGATGTACGACACGCACTCTCTCTACGGGTGGTCGGAGACGGTCGCCACTTACAAGTAAATTGATCAACATATGTTTTGCGATTAATATTGTGTACTGTGTGATCTATGTTCTATGTGATCCACGTTGTCTGTTAAAAGTTACTTGATCCAGGTTGTTTGTTGTGCGATCCTTGTTGAGCGAAAGTTTTGTAGGTTTGTATCGGATGTACGAGTATGTTGATCTTGTTTCTAAATAGTCTGAACGCATTCCATGTTTATTATACGATTGGAATAACACACGAGTAACAAATAATGTCATAGTTTTATAAGATTTGGGTAGGATATTTCGAGTGAATGCAAAAATTAGGTCGCGGATAGTTTAGTTCTCGATGATCTCTCTAACTAATCGCTAATTCAAGGAATACCCAGCTATTGAGGGAACCACCTGCTGGCTAACAGAATTTGGCTTGTTGAGTTAAGTTTATTTAATATAAGTTGACATTCTTATTATGATTCAGCAACAATTCTTGGACATTTTAGGGAAACTCGTCCGAAATTACAAAAATCTTTGTCAATTCATGCATTGATGTAAATTTGAAAAAATTACTTTCATCTAAATAGAATATATATAAAAATTGGATCAACATACACCCTCAATCAAAATAAAATTTCTTTAAAGTGTTTTAATGCGATTATATCTTCATTATACTATTGTAGCTTCAATTTATCTTCCGATATACCTACGATATCTATAAAACAATTTCTCCTTATACTGATGTGTACATATTGAATTCCCATAACTGTGCTTTGTTTTAATAATTATGTAGTCCTTACTGCAAAGTTAATATTGAAATCACCTAAATACCGTCTCAATAACCACACATTCCTAACTGCTGTGTTAATACTGAATTCATCGAGGTAGCCGCCGTCTTAAATAACTACGCACTCCTTACTATTATGTAAATATTGAATTACCCTTGGTTATTCCCGTCTTAATGATTATTCATTCCTACTGCTACGTAAATCTCATATCTCTTCAGGGGCATGATGAAACTGTTCCCGAATTGAATTCCCCTGGGTTATTCCCGTCTTAATCATATGCATTCCTAACTGCCACATAAATCTTATAATCTGATATCTCTTTAGTGGCATGATGAAACTGTTCCCGAATTGAATTCCCCCAGGTTATTCTCGCCTTAATGATTACGCATTACTTACTGCTTCGTAAATCTCGTATCTCTTCAGGGGCATGATGAAACTGTTCCCGAAGAAGAGACAAGTGGTGCTCTCCCGGTCCACCTTCCCGGGCTCTGGATCCTACGCAATTCACTGGCTAGGGGACAACACGGCTGACTGGACCCAGATGGCCATGTCCGTTGTTGGTGAGTTAAATTTAATGCTCATCACATTATAAAGTCAACAAGTACACTTTTATTAAGGGTATTCATGATATAGAATCGTTCTTGTTAGCAATTTTTACAAGTATTAATAGTTTTTATAGATAAACTAACCTTTTACCTGATCCGATAACTCCAAAGTCATGTCAGCAATTAGTCTAGTTTGCTACTAGTGAATAAGTTTTAATTAATCTATAGCATTTCACTGTATTTTACATTTATAATATCCATAAGGAATGATCGAGTTCAACTTGTTCGGCATCCCGATGGTTGGCGCTGATATCTGCGGCTTTTTTGGGGCAACAACTGTGGAAATGTGTGCTCGATGGATGCAGCTCGGCGCTTTCTATCCCTTCAGGTACAGCTTCAACAAAATCAGCTTTTCTTCCGGTAGAAATATTCTTTTTCAATTACAGATAAATAAATCAGTTCCAAACAGTATAGGATTGTTAGATTTATAGACAAATTTATGATATTCGAAGACAAGAGAGCGAGTCGTTGTCTATGGCGTTTTCTTGTTATGAAGATTAATAATATGTTCCACAAAACTATTATAGTTAAAAAAATATTTTTCCAGTTTTGATTAAATTAAAATTAAAATGAGATGTTTCAAATTATGAGCCGTTTCCAAGACTTATAAACTTAATTCATTGTTTTCCATCAAACTTTTAGTCGAAACCACAACGCCATCGGCGAGCCTGATCAAGATCCAACATTTGATCAAACAGTGGCTGCCATCTCAAAAGATGTCCTCGAACTCCGCTACAAATATCTACCGTACCTGTACAGCCTCTTCCACATGGTAATGCTATCAAGTTTACTTTTAAAAATAATTCTTAACTCGGTAAAATGACCTGACGCGTTTGAAGTTAATCCCGATAGCCAATGAATTTTTCCAGCGTCCAATGTCCCGTTAAAAGCAATAATCGAAGCTAAAATTTCCTGTCCTCGTATATAGGGCTTGTGACTCCGAAAACAGCTCCCAATTAGTAGCCGAATATGATAGGCGGCCAATTGGCGTCTGATTTGCCTCTAAAGGCGGCTATGGCGAGCCTACGCCGCCCCTGAACGGAATCTGGATTCTGACTGGGTAGCATGTATCTCATAGGCTGTCATGATCATGCGAGAATTCTGCTCTTGATATGCTTCTTAAGTTGAAATCCTCAGCTTTAATTCTGATATATTTGCCTTCAATTGTAAAACAATACAAGGTTGTTTCATTTATTTCGATGCAGTACAAGAGCTGAAGTACACTTGGTATTTGTCATTGTGCCTCGAATGTTAACGTGCTGCCTGCCAAATACTGAAACCACTCCTATTCTTTGTATAAGGATACATTAACAGTCGTCAATGCAATCGGTTTCATAGCCCTCTTTTGTCGAGCTGTACATATAATAGATGTCGGCCTTCAAAATGGCGTTTTATGTTTGTATATTAAGCTCGTTCGTCCAATTAAAAACAAACGGTATGTCGCCTTTAATTTCAGACTGCTCTGTGACCAGGCGGACATGCACGTATGCCACTTGTCAAATTTTTGTTTCTATGAATAAATTTGAGCAATGCTGGTTGGACATCGCATTTTGCACTCGCAAGGAAATTACGATTGAGGCTGGTAACTAGAGTTACCGCCAGCATGCAAACGGTTAACAGAGGGTTAGCAAGGGGCTAGCAGAGGGATAACAATGGGTTAACAAAGTGTGGAAAATGAGTTAAGAAAGAGTTAGCAAAGGTTCAATGCCTTGTGTTGACCTCGTCTAGGCTCACATGGATGGCGAGAGCGTGGTGCGTCCGCTGTACAATGTGTACCCCAGCGACTTGACCGCCAGGGACGTCGACGATCAGTTCTTCTGGGGCTCGGGCATCATGGTCGCTCCTGTCCTCGCGCCAGGACTCACTGCTAGAGACGTGTACTTCCCAGAAGTAAGCTTATCAAAATATACACAATATTTTTAGTATGTTCTATTGAATTTGAATACGTTTTAATGTTTTCGAGTCCGTACACTTTCTGTTTTTGTGCTTTCAAGGACATTTTCTACGATCTGGTGACCGGTGAAGTTCAAAGCACATCAGCCCAAGTCCGGAGCATCCCAGCCCCACTCGAAAAAATCCCAGTCTTCGCGAGAGGAGGAAGCATCTTGGCCACACAAGCACCTGCGCTTAACACTGTTCTCAGGTGTCGTATAAATGAATTGTTTTCTCGTGGCTCAGTTTTTCGGGCAGTTACTTTATTCATTTTTTGATTGAATGGTAAAAAGTAGTTTGCAGAAATACTACAATAATTTTATTTTTGTAAATTGCTTGCCTAATACGTTTTAATGTTTTCGAGTCCGTACACTTTGCGTTCTTGTGCTTTCAAGGACATTTTCTACGATCTGGTGACCGGTGAAGTTCAAAGCACATCAGCCCAACTCCTGAGCATCCCAGCCCCACTCGAGAAAATCCCAGTCTTCGCGAGAGGAGGAAGCATCTTGGCCACACAAGCGCCTGCGCTTAACACTGTTCTCAGGTGCCGTATAAATGAATTGTTTTCTTGTGGCTTAGTTTTCCGGGCAGTTACCTTATTCATTTTTTTGATTGAATGGTAAGAGTTAGTTTGCAGAAATACAACACTAATTTTATTTTTGTAAATTGCTTGCCCTGCCTTGCTCTGATATTCCGTTCTCAGGCCATTTAGAAAGTTTACAAGCAAAATTCAGGCCTCAAACTATTTTAATTATAGTAATTCGCTTGTCTGAGCATTATTTGGCAGAATATTATTTGGAATTCTGGAATTGAAACTCCAACGTATATGGATGTGTCATCTCAGTTGACTATTATCCTGCGAAACGCCTGCAATGAATGCAGATGAATCGCTTTGTGATTACATTGATATTTATCTAGTAAGCTAAAAATTTTACATAGATTTTTGTTTTCGTGGTTTATACAAATTAGTCAATAACTATAAATAGCTATAATTAACTGATAACTTTGAGCTAAATTTAGTGCTTTACCTCTGCAGCCGGCAAAATCCCTTCGGTTTGACTATCGCGCTTGACTCAGCCCACTCGGCCGAAGGGGAGATATTCTGGGACGACGGGGAGGGCGAGCACGTCATGTCTGAAGCCTACATGAGCATGCTCTCTTTTGAGGACGTAAGTATCTATGTAGTGTCTTACTAAGGTTTTTAATTACGTCAGCTTTACCTAATTACCGTAGGAGTATATATTAAACATATTAAATATTTTTTCAACAAACTATTTTCAATAATTACACATCATATATGGGTTAGAAAAAGGCAGTCTTCAGAGCTGAATATGAGCTCAGCGTCAACAACACAAAAGGAAAATACGTTAGTACGTGGTAAGCTCCGGTCCGCGTTTCCTACACATTTTCATGTTTGCACACTCTTCCTGTTGGGATATCAGTTATTTTGTCAATCGCTACAAATCCCTCATAATCTCGAACCATGGCTCTGAAACATTTCATAAGCACGTCGATTGTCATTTACCCTATCATTCGTATATGATCCTTGATCCTATAATTGTTCATTTTTATCATACCTCTCTCGTCTCTCGAACACTGTCGCCCATGCATGATCATTCGTCGAGGATCACTTCCGCCTTATGATCAACATTCATCATGTCTAAGTCATCTCTAGAACACTCTGATGTCGCTGCTCGTAGCTCCTACATGCATTACATACCTCGATATGTAAATATCACGTCCTACGTACATATGTATATATCGTATCTCCTTCATCTCCAGAACATGCTGATGTCGATGATCATGCACGGACAAGATGTTGTAGCTGGCTTGTCGATTGACCACCTTATCTTCTACGGCTACCCTTCCAACCCGACCACCATCTCCGTCGGCGGTGAAGCATTGGACTCATCCGCCTGGGCTTTTGATGCCGCAACTGGAGTCCTAACCGTCACGGTTGACCTACCACTCGACACTGAGTTTATGGTCATGTTCATGTAAAATGAACGATTAATGAAATAAAATGCAGTTATTATTGTATCAACAGTTATTTTGTATCCTTTTTATACTCTATATTATGTCGAATTACATTCATTCATTATTATTGATAATGCACAGTTACAGTCTTCGTTCTCTCAATAGCCAAGTTGTTCTAAGATGAGGAAGTAAACATTTGTCTAAACTTAGAGATTATATTAATTCGAATTTCAGGGAAGTAAATCAAATAATAATAATAGTAAAATGATTATCAACATAGAACGGAACAGTAAACAAATGTTGATGAGATTGGTTGGTGTAGCCTGAATGCTTCTCACGAATGCACATTCTAGGTAACTTTATATTTGCATGAGAACATTTGTTCAACTATTATTGTGCACGAGATAATTTGTCAGCTAATTTTCTTCTTCAAAAGTTTTCGTGTATGATAATTCAATTTACTAAATTAACGTTGCTTATTTTAGCTGATAATATTCAAACAGTTATCTATAACTGGTGAAATTTACATTATTCAAAGCTTGCAATGACTTTCACGATACATTCATCTTATTTTACGTAAAACCAAGTTTTGGAAAGCAGTGAGGAATCGTAACTTTCTGAACAAATGCACCATGTATTCCAACAGGAATCCTTAATAAAACGAGCTGATCCTTCCAAATAAGCTGTTCAGCTGGTATTCAGTTGAAAAGCAGCATATGCCCTTACTATCGCCAATTTCAAACTACAAATATGTAAATTGAAAATGTTTTTACTACTAAACTAAGTGCGTATCGGAGTAGAAATGGATGTTCTGGTTCAATTATAGGAAATAAAAAGGAAGTTTTGTGGATCTATAGCAGGAGATTGTCGAGCTATTATAGGACTATGTGATTACTAACGATAATTACTAGAAAATCTGGGAAAAATTAAATTGACTACTAAGTTAGATTTATGTTTAGTTTACAAATGCCAAATGCCGAAACTTTTTTGTAGCATAAATATGAAAGAATTTTGATTCCGATAAATTAAATGATGGAACGCTGGTTCGAACATATAGATTGTAGAAGCGAAATTTTGGTAAAACAAAAAATTTAAGAAAAAACTTGCGTCGTTTAATATTTGAAAGCATTAAAAAATTTCAGTCGTTCAAGAGGAGTTATTGAAAATTATACTAAAATATAAGGTACTATAATATTATGTTTTTCGTCGACTAAATATTTTAATAACAAACAGAAAGATTGAATTTATCAGATGTACCAGGCGTGCAATCTAATTCAAATTATTACGTCAATAAATAGCACTATTACATAGAATTGATCGAAGTAATATACCTTCTGGAGCTTGTCTAGCTAGGCCTGAATTAATAATTCAACAGCTTTCTCAGGCCCAATTCTTTCGTCATATTACGAGCAATTATCCTTCGATTTCTGCTTAACGGGCAACTTCTGGTGACAAGGTATAATTAGGGAGCTTTTCTTAGGTATTCCAAGTGAATGACGAACGGCAATGCGAAAAGAACTCGTGTTTTTCAAAGCTTCTTTCATCGATCTGCCTCCTCGCGTCTAAAATTACGGGGCAATGGATACGAGGATTGTGGTCCATCCATCGATACCAGGGATGTGGTCCATCCATCGATACCAGGGATATGGTCCACCCATCGATACCAGGGATGTGGTCCGTCTATCGATACGAGGGATGTGGTCCATCCATCGATACCAGGGATGTGGTTCATCCATCGATACGAGGGATGTGGTCCATCCATCGATACCAGGGATGTGGTCCATCTATCGATATGATGGATGTAGCCCATCCATCGATACCAGGGATGTGGTCCATCCATCGATATGATAGATGAGGTCCATCCATCGATACGAGGGATGTGGTCCATCTATCGATGCGATGGATGTGGTCCATCCATCGACACCAGGGATGTGGTCCATAAATTGATACGTGGGATGTAGTCCGTCCGTCTATAGGAGGAATGGGGTCTATATGTCGATACGAGGAATGTCCAGAGAATCCCAACTGAATTTGTTGGCATTCTCCTTTGATAAGTAATTATAATTACTTATTAGTTAAATAAATATTTTCACTGTCTTCACGACAGTACGCGTAGAAAACTTTAGAAAATTGCATCAGATTTACGAGATATAAATTGTTTTGATCTTTTAATTGTGCAAATTCAGAAAATAGTTCTTAAAAATTTCAAAATAATTTAGTCCACAAAATAATTTTAATCTGTCCACAGAATTCTATGAGAGAGAAAATGGTCACCTATTTTCGGTTTGGCATATTATTTTTTATAAATATTGACGATCATCAACAGATGATCACATCCAAACGAAGAAATAGTAAACGGTTTATCGTTGCAGATGAAGTAATTTTGCATTGATAATGATGAAAATTCGTCCAAAAGAAGACGTTATTGTTTTGGCGTAAAGTGTTCAGGCTCATGGATCTTATATTGCTCCCAGAAATATATTCATCGATCGTATATAGTCCCTAGAGATATTGTTTGAGATTGCATATATTTCCGAGAAATATAGTTATGGATCTTATTTAATCTCTAGAAATGTCATGGATCTAATATAGACTGTAAAAATTAGGCATCATTATATAGTGTCATAAATATAGTCACGGACCTTATACTATACCTAGAAAAATTCATGTGCAGCTATCATTGTGGCAAGTGTACAGGAAAAAGTGACACTGCTCCATGATAAATGCTTCCAAAACCTTACAAGAGTTTGACATACATAAATAAATATTTTTACTTCAATTCGTATGCTCTTGAGAACTGTACTCATATATTGCCATGTATTAATTTCATACCATACTATGATATATAAAGACTGACAGATATTTGATATAAGCTTCACATTCTTGCCGCTGATTCTATACAAGATATCTGACAAAAATCAATGGCTTCGTCAGCAACAGTTGGGCCGCTTCGAATTTCTAGGCTGTTTCTCACATCGAATTCTGACCGAAAATTCGAAACTAGGAAAAAATTTGTTCTTCACTTATTCGGCATTAAAAAATTTTCTCTCTGAACTTTAAAAAAATAAGTTTCCTTGATTAATTTTATGGGAAACAAACCAAACTTGTTGAAAGCTAGGATACAAAGTTTCTCTGTTGCACCCGCATTTTAGGGGTGCTTCCTTGTTATTTCATTTTGTCAAGTTCCAAATACCATTACTTTCAAAATTTATCAGGTTCGCGATGCGCGAAAATATAAATTCTATCTCTAGAGAATATTTGCTTTTATTGAGTAGTGCATTGTCAGCATTGCTGACTTATTTATCAATAATGTGTCGATTTAAATGAAACGAAACTCTAGACGATTGCGATAAGTCTTAGTTAAGACACTGAAGAGAGAACGAGTCTAAATGTGAGCATTTAAATAAATTTAGGTGCAATAAAATCTTAACCGAAATTTGAAAACTAATATACGACATTTTCATTACAAATTCGTTAAACTATGATTCATCACAAAAAGATGTATGTGGAAAAAAAGTCGAAAATAAATGTGACCACCTGTACCCATACGGATTTCTTAAAACTTAACTCCAAAATAAGTGTCCTAATTAAAACTCATTGGCCTAATGGAACTGTAGTGTCAAATTAACCGGTTATCACCATGTGTAATTGTCGGACATATAATAAGTATGTCTCTATAAGCGGAAACTATGTCATATCGATGAGTAATCTGAATCGATGAGTGGAGAGTTATTTCAGAAAATTTCTACCAGAGCAAACTCGAAAAGAGTGGTTTTATTACGCCACCGAGTGATAGTTGTGGCGGGGTGGCTCTTAAAGTGAGCATTAAGCTCGTCTGATAATCATTAAGCTTGTCCCTTAAGAGGGCTACGTATTCATGGCTTGTAGCAACGACGCCCATATGCAAATGCAAGAGAGAAACACCTTCGTCAAATTGCGTTAGACTGCCGTCGCGCAGACTTAGTCCGTGTGAGCGAGGATAACGACCTCCTCCGACTCGCTGCCTTGGTTTGTAATTACATCAAATGTATATGATGGAAACGTTATTTTGATTTGAATAAGATTGAATGACTTTGTGCATCTATCTTTGAACTTTACAAATGACTCACAAAAGGGTTTCAATCATGTCTTTGGATGGGAATAGCATAGGAAACAGTGAAAATTATGCAACCAAAACATTGCAAGAAAAAAGATAAACATATAAATAAATAAATAAAATTTAGAGCAGTTAACGAGTAGAACTTCCTATGTATATTACTTTATTATGAGCTATTTCAACCATGACCATTCATTAATTGTAAAATCTTAGCTAACAATTCAATCTTCAATAACAACCAATGCAGCATTTTATCACAGTGTATGACAAAAAGGCATGTGGATTTTTGGTACAGTATGGAAAAGAATGAAATTTTATTGTAAAATCTATCTCTTCCAAAACTGAGAGACTTGAGTCTATGGAATAACAAAAGTTCTAATCTAATTTCAGAACATTTTTTAGTTAGATCACTGATATAAATTAAATATAATAATTTCTAATTTATCAAATTTCCTCTACTAATTTTGGCAGTATTGACTTTAATTTTGCTTTTTTCGGATCACTCCATAGTGACCAGTTCGACTTTCCCATGACCCAGACGTAGAGTATCTCACTGATATCAACTGTTCGAGAATTTTGATTGCTTGTCATTTACCAGCTGTCATTTCTCAAGCGAGTTACACCAATATATACGGTTACGAACATGGCGTCAACCGTGTCCAACTGCAGACATGGCTTCTCGAAGGCATTTGGTAGCAACTCTGCTGCTGCTTATCGGTTCTGTCGCAGCGCAGAATGGCATTGAATGTCCTTTCCCAGGTGAGTTACATTCTATTTGCTCAGTATTGACTTTAATTTTGCTTTTTTCGGATCACTCCATAGTGACCAGTTCGACTTTCCCATGACCCAGACGTAGAGTATCTCACTGATATCAATACTTCGAGAATTGTGATTGCTTGTCATTTACCAGCTGTCATTTCTCAAGCGAGTTACACCAATATATAGGGTTACGAATATGGCGTCAATCGTGTCCAACTGCAGTCATGGCTTCTCGAAGGCATTTGGTCGCAACTCTGCTGCTGCTTATCGGTTCTGTCGCAGCGCAGAATGGCATTGAATGTCCTTTCCCAGGTGAGTTACATTCTATTTGCGGAGAGTAAGGCTAACATATTCATGTGAACAACTTATACTCAAATTACGGGACGCATAACCTGAAAGTCAGATGGCAATTTTGAAATCAAAATAGAGAGATCCTATTGATTCTTCTATTAGAATAATGGCTATTCCTTCGTAAGTACCAATATGTCAATTCATCCATCAAAATATTTTTACCTGAATCGAAATTTGATCACGTTGGTGAGAGTTGTAATTTTCAAATCCTCGGTTGATAGGATTTTCAAATTTTCAGCGTGATCATTTTCCATTTAGGATCTGTTCAACCATGTTTGTTATACCGCTTTTGTTGAAATCAGTTCACTCTGATACCTTCATTATTTGAAAAAGCCTGTTTAGGAAAGATAACATAACGGCCATTATTTCGCTGTTGAAATGAATGAAAATGTTGAAACTTTTTCAGTTGGGTCATTACCTATTCAGCGGAAAAATCCCTCCTTAAGTATAATAGCCATGCCAATTTATGGGGTGACACTCCGATTGATATTCAAAACTGACCTCACGTAAATTTTAGTTGATGTATTCAATCAAAGGTACTTGCTATTCAAATGCGGCATTCGTCGCCAGCGACCCGAATAAATTTATCAATAAAACAAATTTAACAATACACGGTAGTTTAATTCAGTTAAAACTGCTACACCATAAATTTAACTAATATCACTCAGTTGACTCACAGCATTAAAATCGAATGAGTTTTAAATTACCTAGTTGAATGACAAGGTAATTTGAGTTTCACTGAACGAAGGTGGTACCGAGAACGGCGGCGGAGTGGCGGAATGCTCGCTTTACACGGCGTGTCTGTGGAAGGGATCTGAGTGCGTCATGCAGAACAACGGCGACATCGGCTACACGGTGGCCGGTGACCCGCAGGATACGGGCAGGGGCTTCAAGGTTTGTAGAAAACAACCTTCTTTTTATGTCTCTTGAGGGACCAAAATTACCTATCACTAACAGGGTTTTTTTTTTGAGCGAAGACTGACTGGGTCTTCAAGGTATTGAAAAAGGAACACTTTCCTTGTAGTTGAAATGGAAGCCTGATGTGTCATGAATAGTGAATAATATGCGTTTAAAAATTACTTTTTTACACTTATGAACAACACTTATGAACAATCCAGTGTATTGGAAGTTACACATGTACAATGAATTTCTAATTTTATTTTCAAATAATGAAAAAAATTATTTTTCACTATTTTTTTAAGTTATCAAAATTTTGTAAATTATCATAGATATTTATTCTGTCAACTGATTCATGCATTGTCTTTATGTCTTTGTTTTTATGCATTGTCTTTATGCAATTGTGCAAAATTTCAGATCGATTGGACAGGTCAAATTGCGTCATATATGGATTATAGGATTTGTAGGAGACGAAATTATTTTTAATTTTTTTATAAAGAGAAGTGTTGTAATAATAATAACATGCGTTTAAAAATTACTTTTTAAAGACAGCACTTCTGAAGAAGCCGGCGTCTTGGTTGTAACACATGTACAATGAATTTCTAATTTTATTTTCAAATATTAAATTTTTTTTTAATTTTTTTAAGATATCAAAATTTTTTACATTTTCAAAATTAGGTATTTATTCTGTCAACTGATTCATGCATTGTCTCTGACTTTATGCAATTGTGCAAAATTTCAGATCGATTGGACAGGTCAAATTATGTCATATATGGATTATAAGATTTGTAGCAGACGAACTATTTTTAAATTTTTTTTAATAATGAACAATTTTTTTAATTTATAAAATTATTTATTCTGTCAATTGCATTGTCTCCAACTTTACGCAAGTGTGCAAAATTTCATTTAGATCGATTGGACAGGTAGAAGTGTGTCAAATATCGATTATAAAATTTGTAGCAGACAGACAGACAGACAGACAGACAGACCAACAAACAAACAAGTTAAACAACAAGGAGTGAAGTTAAAGAAAAGTGAACAAAGTGAAAAACTTCTAGGTATGTGAAAACCAACACTTTCTATGTTGTTTAAATCCATTCTTGGGGCGCGATTTTTTAAATAAAGACTGGAAGGGTTTTCAACGACTGTAAAAAATTAAACTAACTTGGGTGTAAAGTGGTAATGTTGAAATGTTGGAAGATCTTGGAAAATCGAGAAAAAATCACAAGTCTACATGGTATAGACGAAGCTGTAGTAGTATTATGTAATATATTTGTCAAAGTGCATTTGTGTTTTGATGCAGCGCAAATATGTAAAGGCTATGGGGGCGAGTATACTTATTGCATCGGGATATTACCTGGACATGAAAATATATTCTGGAAAATAGTTTGACATTGCAGTATTGGAAGGAAAATACTGGATTTAAATTGAAATTTTCTTTTTAAATTACCTCATTTAAATATATTCTCATTGATGAAAAATATATTTCTTATTCTGAAAAAGAGTAAATAGGTGTATATTCTATATACTATTTTAAATATTCCGAATAACGGTATTTAAAATTGCAGCGATAATCGATCCTAGACAACGAAGACAATGAAGTATGGAATTATGAATGGAAAAATATCAGTGAAAAACATATTTGATAAAAGCAGATAAAAATTAAACACAATTGATGTAGAAATTGGCGCTTGCATAAAAAAATAACACATTGGAAAGACGGAAACAGCTCATAATGTCATCTTTAGGAAAAACAAATTCCGAAATGTTGCCACTTAAAGAAAGTTTGTGGTAATTTCAGCATTCAGGACATGAGAGAAACTATAAGAAATGTTTAAACCTTAATCAAGACAAAACATTTTATACGGAAAATTGTTTGTTTTCAGGTCGGTCTTGATCTCATCGATGCGACGAAAACATTGTTTGGAGGAGACATTCCCGGGCTGGAGCTGGAAGTGATCTACCACGAAGATTATCACGTTCAAGTCAAGGTACGATGTTCAATAAAAAAGTAAAAGAATGCAAGTTAAATTCATGTTCATCTAACGTTAATATATGATCTGAAGCTATAGAATTGATAAAATTTCGGGTTCTCGATGCAGGAAAGTGCGCTATTTTTCTGATTAGGAAAATCTTTTAAATTTTTGTATTACTCTTAATCAGATCAGAGACGCGGCATCAGCGCGCTACGAGGTGCCGGTGCCACTGACGCTGCCAGCCGAGGCCGGGACTCTGCCGCTGTACACGGTGGAGGTCGCCGCTGCTGGTCAGCCTTTCGAGATGAGCATCAGTCGCGCCGCCACCGGGACTAAAGTGTGAGTGAGAGATCGGTTACTGGTATTTATATTGTTAGTGATAAAAGGGAGAATGGAATGAGTACATAAGTTATTAGCAATAAAACGGTTCATATAGTGAATGCTGCTGTACACGGTGGAGGTCGCCGCCGCTGGTCAGCCTTTCGAGATGAGCATCAGTCGCGCCGCCACCGGGACTAAAGTGTGAGTGGAAGAGCGGTTGATTGGTATTCATATTGTTTGTGATAAAAGGGAGAATGGAATGAGTACATAAGTTATTAGCAATAAAACGGTTCATATAGTGAATTAAATTCAGCAACGAGAGCAGACCACGAGGGTAACTAGGATTCTATCGTTTATTGCAGTTATATTTGTGGTGATAAAGAGGAATATATTGGGATAAGGGGGCAGATGCGTTTAAATATCAGTATGATTGGTTTCAACTGACTACATGGTGGACGAGTTGATATTGGCATTTATATTCATGATTATATAAGGGGTGTTCTGTTTTGGAATAAGGGTATAATTAATGCTAGCGAGAAAAATAGAACACAAAGATGAGTTGGATACCATCGTTTATTGGTCGTTATATCTATAATGATATAGGTTAATGCATTGAAAGAAGTGCGAGTAACATTCTAGCTACGAAAAACCGAAGCGGAGTGAAAGGTTACTCGTATCGTAAAAATCTGGTGCAAATAACGTTCACGTGGCAATGAAATCCATCTTCTGTTGCTTTGTGACAGTAGAAACACGACTTGGGGAAGAATATGTGTTTTAACTATCTTTTTATATCCTAAAATTGTCCTATTCCACCTCTAAAATCTTCTATCAAGGGCAAAAAAATTGTTTCTGTGTTATTTTGTACTCTTTGGTTAACTTCTCGACCATTGCGACACACTGGATGTACGAGAATGTGTTTCATAAAATTGATTAATGTGAAATAATGAAACTATAATTAGATTAATGAAACACTTCTCAGTTTTTTCTCGACTAAAGGGGCACAACATGAGAATTTTCTCCGAGACCTGCAGACCTTCAAAAGCAGTAGCATAATTATCACATCTCAATCATTTTCATTGAATTTGAACAGATCGCCGGAGTTTTTCAACTCTAGACGTGTGCGTCAAATGTCTTTTATTTAAACTTCCTATAGATTTATTAACATTACCTTGTTCTCGACGGTGGGGGCGCTACTTCACGAGAACCAGTTGATAAAGCAGTTCATTAAACTCTACATGAAGTGAGTAACATTACCAGCTTCTCAACGGTGGGGGCGCTGGTATACGAGAACCAGTTGATAACGCAGTTCATTAAACTTTACATTAATTAAGTAACTTTACCAGCTTCTCGACGGTGGGGGCACTAGTGTACGAGAACCAGTTCACCCAGTTCACCACGCAGTTAATTAACATTATAAAATTAAATAACTTTACCAGCTTCTCGACGGTGGGGGCACTAGTGTACGAGAACCAGTTCATCCAGTTCACCACGCAGTTAATTAACATTATAAAATTAAATAATTTTACCAGCTTCTCGACGGTGGGGGCGCTGGTATACGAGAACCAGTTCATCCAGTTCACCACGCAGCTGCCGTCCACTTACCTGTACGGCTTCGGGGAGAACACACACTCCCGCCTGCGCCACACCTTCGAGCCCCGCAACACCTGGCCAATCTTTGCTAGGGATCAGCCCGTTGGCACCGTAAGTTATAATTTCAAGAATTTTTTGATGACATTAATTGATTTCTGAATTAATTGTTTAGCAACCGATATTATTGTCACTGCGGTTAGTATTAGCTAAGCCTGTAGCCAAATGTAGCCCTATTAGCTACATTTGGCTTATTTGTTTTTTACCAGCTGAATTTGTTAAACTTTTGATTGCTTGCTGTTCAATTAATCGCTTCACTTCTGCTGGAAGTTTGTTTGAATTTTGTTAAAAAGTTGCTTGCATCACAGTTTCGGTGCATTTCGGCACTGAATTACACCACGCTGTCTTTGCTGTTCGTACAAGTTTTACGATGATTTATTAATTTACTTTTGTTAATTAATTTGCAAGGGCTTCATGAACGAGTATGGCCACCACCCTTACTACTCGGTTGTGGAGGATGACGCGGGCCACACCCACTCTGTACTCTTCTTCAATTCAAATGCAATGGGTAATGATATGTATAAATATATATAAATATATTTATGTAAGTCAGTCAATAGCCGGACAGGATTAGTAACATTATCGGACATGGGTTAGAAACCCGGACCAAATTTCGTCCGGTTATATACTCTGTAACTAGTTTGTACTAGAAAACCGGTCGCAGAAATAAATGAACTACACTACCGGACATTCTAAAAAACGCCAACCTCGTTATGTTAGGATTAGAGGTTGGATGTGTCTAAAACCCGTCTTAACGTTGCTAAAGACCTTTCTACAAGGGTTAGGTCCCGCCAGGTCAAGTTCTTTGTTCCTTTTTTTTTTTTGCAAGTAAAAAAATAATTAAAGTCCGGTTAAGTGGAAGTATATCTATATATAATATATATATATATATTTATAGATGGTAATATAACGGTGTCATATATTTTAGAACTCTAGAGATATTGTTATGGTGATATTTGTTAGAATTCTGGGATAACATAGCCTATGAATCTGGAACTTTAAACGTATTTTTACAGTGCATCCCAACCAAAAAAAAATGTTTGACTGTTTCTATCTCATAATTGGAATGAAAATTCTTGAGATCGATTCCCTTACCCATACAATCTGAGTCCGTCTATATTAATCTAAAAATACTATATTTTTCAGATCTATGCTAAAATATTCAAAATATAATGTATTAAAGCAAGCCTCCTTCACCTTAACGCAGAATATTCGACGTTCTTGCTGAGCGACGGCTCGCCGGCCCTGACGCTGCGCACCATCGGCGGCATAATTGACCTGCACTTCTTCTTCGGCCCCATGCCCGAGGACGTGAACGTACAGTACGCAAATGTCAGTACAATGCTCATTTATACGGGTCTGTGAACTTGTATATTCTGTGTGAAAACGTTCAGCGTCTAATTCCTGTACGCATTGCATGGTCATAACGAGGTTCATTTATAGGGTACAGCAAATTCAAGTTGATGCTCTAAGCGCACACTTTCTGTTCGCAACGGCCAGGAAATTGCAAAAAATTTGCTTCAGCTGTACTGCAGTAAAAGGCAAATAATCAAGTATTTTCTTCCAATATGCCTTGATCACGAGAAAAAACTTCTATACATTTGCGAGGACAATTTTTTTTTTGCTGTCGAAATATAAATTTAACTGGTATCCCCAACATTATTTAACTGCTATTCTAAAAATAGTGCGAGGTCAATAAAGAAAAACACGGATAATGTGCAAGTTTATTGCTTAATTAATACATGTTACTTCATCTTTTTGCATTTAATATTTATCATTTTTTGATGTGATTTGTTCAGACTGTGGGTACGCCGGAGTTTCCGCCCTACTGGTCTCTGGGCTTTCACTTGTCTCGCTACGGCTACACTTCAACCGATGACGTCAGGGCTGTCAGGCAGCGCATGAAGGATGCTCAAATTCCTCAGGCAATTTATCAATTAGCAAAGAAGTCAGCGATTTGTTGATTTACACTCAGTGATGTAATTTATCGCATTCTTAGGGAATGCAAATAACGTAAGATGAGGAGAAAACTCGTGCAAGGAAAGGGTCAGCGTCCAAATTAGGTTGAAGTTTTAGCTACTGAATTTGAAAGTTGAGATAGGAGAGTAAATTCAGAACTTTTTCATGTAAAATGGCGCTATGATGTCGAATTTAATGGTTGATTATTATCCTCATCAGGTACAGAAGACGAAATTCATTACAATACTGTCTACAATAATTTTTAACATTTAAATAAATTATGCGACTATAATTTTTTCAAATATTCATCGAATACTTTTGATTTCCGCCAAATCCTTAATTAACTATTTTAATTTTGCCCCGTTTTCTTTTCGTTTGATTTCAAACTTCTGAGAAAATTGTAATTTCCTTTACTCCCATTCATTCACTGATACGAGAGATGAAAAAACTATTTTAAGCTTCAGAGCTCTCTTCAAACCTCAAACTGTTCAGTTATATACAATAACACACAATGTGATTCCACAATAAAGAAAGGAAGTATGCAGGCTTCGCAGTAGAACTTTCGATTATGAACTCAAACAAGAGTTTAACATTTATGACCTCCTAGCTAATTGACCTTATACCCAGTCAATTGAAGCCTTTTTCAGAATGTTTTAACAGAATTCAAAGTGAATATCTGACGTTTATGTGGGCAGCGATCACACCATTTGCATGTCAGCCATGCAGACGAATGGTAACCAATCCTTCTCGATGTACGACACGCACTCTCTCTACGGGTGGTCGGAGACGGTCGCCACTTACAAGTAAATTTATCAACATATATATTTTGCGATTATTATGGTGAGCTGTGTGATTTATGTTTTGTGTGATCCACGTTGTCTGCTACAACCCCTGGCAAAAATTATGGAATCACCGGCCTCGGAGGATGTTCATTCAGTTGTTTAACTTAGTAGAAAAAAAAAACAGATCACAGACATGACACAAAACTAAAGTAATTTCAAATGGAAACTTTCTGGCTTTAAGAAGCACAATAAGTAATAAAGAAAAGAAATTTGTGCAGTAAGTAACGGTTTTTAGACCAAGCAGAGGGAAAATAATATGGAATCACTCAATTCTGAGGAAAAAATTATGGAATCATGAAAATCAAAAGAACGCTCCAAAACATCGCTAGTATTTTGTTGCACCACCTCTGGTTTTTATAACAGCTTGAAGTCTCTGAGGCATGGACTTAATGAGTGACAAACAGTACTCTTCATCAATCTGCCTCCAACTTTCTCTGATTGCTGTTGCCAGATCATCTTTGCGGGTTGGAGCCTTGTCATTGACCATTTTCTTCAACTTCCACCAAAGATTTCAAATTGTATTAAGATCCGGACTATTTGCAGGCCATGACATTGACCTTATGTGTCTTTTTTTCTAGGAATGTTTTCACTGTTTTTGCTCTATGGCAAGATGCATTATCATCTTGAAAAATGATTTCATCATCCCCGAACATCTTTTCAATTGATGGGATAAGAAAAGTGTCCAAAATATCAACGTAAACTTGTGCATTTATTGAAGATGTAATGACAGCCATCTCCCCAGTGCCTTTACCTGACATGCAGCCCCATATCATCAATGACTGTGGAAATTTGCATGTTCCCTTAAGGCAGTCATCTTTATAAATCTCATTGGAACAGCACCAAACAAAAGTTCCAGCATCATCACCTTGCCCAATGCAGATTCATCACTGAATATGACATTCATCCAGTCATCCACAGTCCACGATTGCTTCTCCTTAGCCCTTGGTACCTTGTTTTTGTCGGTTTTGGTGTTAATGATGGTTTTCTTTTAGCTTTTCTGTATGTAAATCCAATTTCCTTTAGGCGGTTTCTTACAGTTCGGTCACAGACGTTAACTCCAGTTTCCTTCCATTCGTTCCTCATTTTTGTCTTGACGCTCTGATTTCTTCCTTGGTCTACCAGTATGTTTGCCTTTAACAACCTTCCCATATTGTTTGTATTTGGTCCAGATTTTAGACACAGCTAACTGTGAACAACCAACATCTTTTGCAACATTGCGTGATGATTTACCCTCTTTTAAGAGTTTGATAATCCTCTCCTTTGTTTTAATTAACATCTATCGTTTTGGAGCCATGATTCATGTCAGTCCACTTGGTGCAGCAGCTCTCCAAAGTGTGATGACTCGTTTGTAGATGCAGACTAACGAGTAGTTCTAATTTGATGCAGGTGTTAGTTTTGGGGATGGAAATTTACAGGGTGATTCCATAATTTTTTCTTCAGAATTGAGTGATTCGATATTTTTTCCCTCTGCTTGGTTTAAAAAAATAACCGTTGCTGACTGCACAATTTTTTCTTGATTTCTTAAAGCCAGAAAGTTGCCATTTGAAATTACTTTAGTTTTGTGTCATGTCTGTGATCACCTGTTTTTCGACTAAGTTAAGCAACTGAATGAACATCCTCCGAGGCCGGTGATTCCATAATTTTTGCCAGGGGTTGTACAAGTTACTTGATCCAGGTTGTTTTTTGTGTGATCCTTGTTCAGCGAAAGTTTTGTAGGTTTGTTTCAGATGTACGAGTATGTTGATTATGTTTCTAAATGATCTGAACGCATTCCATACTTATTATACGATTGGAATATCACACGAGTAACAAATAATGTCATAGTTTTATAGGATTTGTGGTAGGTTATTTCGCGTGAGTGAAGAGATTGGGTCGCGGATACTTTAGTTCTCGATGATCTCTCTATCTAATCGCTCATTCAACGAATTTCCAGTTATTTAAGGTAACCACCTGTTGGTTTACATTATTTGACATGATGAGTATGTTTTAATTATTATAAATGGAGATTCCTATTATGATTCAACAACGATTCTTTGACATCTTAGTGAAAATTCTCCGAAAGAACAAAAAAATCATTGTCAATCCATGAATTGATGTAAATTTGGGAAAAAATCATAATAATCGAAATATAATATACAGAAAAAAAAACGATCAACCTACATCCTCACCCATGTTCAAATTTCTTCAAAGTGTAATGATGCGATTATAGCTTCATTGTGGTATTGTAGCTTCAATTTTCCATCCAAAATATGTACAGTTTTTACGCGACAAAATTTCCTTGCTGATGTGTATGCCGTGCCGAAATCGCCGAAATGCCAATTCTATGGGATCGGCTGCCAGTTTGCCGATTCTGTAAAATCAGCATTTCGTTGCTGATTCCGCGGATTAGGCAACGATTTGTTGAAAATGTGGAACTAATTTCGACCACTGTTGAAAATTGGTCGTTAGAGTTAAAATTACAACGTAAATCGACAGTTATAGTCAGAAAAGATTAGGTCAAGTTCATTTATATTAAAAACTAAAAAAAACAGATTCCTATATTATAGAAATGCTCGAAATGAGTTCTACATTTTCAGTAAATCGTTGCCTATTCCTCGGAATCAGTAACGAAATGCTGATTCTACAGATTCGGCAGACTGGCTGCCGATTCCATAGAATCAGCAATTCCGCGATTTCGGCAAATGTATATACTGAATTCCCATAGCTA